TCTTCAATAAATATTCTTAATGGTGAGTTAGTTTGACGTAAGGAATCCCATTTGAGTGTACCATTGACAGTGGATTTATTAAGCATTTATATTAAGAATAAAGTTATAGCATTGTGAATGCAATATTGATCAAATAATCAAATTAAATAGTAAGTAAGAAGTAAGAGAGTAGTAAGAATCATAGATTTTATAAATTTTATCATCCATTCATTCATTTCTGTAACTTTCGCATTTTTATATATAATACAAAATACTAAAATTTTATAATTTTCAAAGTCTCTCCATTGTTCCCGAAGTAATGTTTTAGCGTTGATCAAAAAAGATGTCGAAACAAATAAGGTAAGTGGGTAAAAATTCTGTTTATGCTACTTATCTATATTTATATAATATAAGTTTCATTTGCGCAGAATTTATGACAAGAAAACTCTTTTGAGTGCTTCAAAGAAAACGCCGAAGTGTTTACGGAGTATCTTGTGTCCTAGAAATTTATTGGGGCAGCTCATGTCTTTTGGCAATGTAGATGTATAGACCCTGATATTTTCTTGTAGTTGTTTATACTTGTTCAGATTTTCCTTTGAAATATTATATTTAGGACCGCCTTAATAAAATTGCCAAGTTATGAGGCTATTATTATCTGTAACAATTTGGAAGCAGCAGCAATTGTGAAAATAGAACATCTAGCATGTTATAATCATCTCCCTGATTGGATTCTGGATCAAGGAATTTTTTGTTTTTTTTTATTAAATTAAGTCTTGTTTCTGTTTGTTTATTAGTACTGTTATGTATAGTTCACAACACAGCAATGTTAAGTATGTTTTGCATATTGTAATTATTTATTGTTAATTTATGAAACTTACTACCGTATACTACTACTTACTATGTTAAATACTATTGCTTATTTTCTTTGTTTATTTTTCAATGTTCTAATGTAATATCAGTAAAGGATGATGAAAAACAGTTCTTAGATGGAGACGATATTGATCTCATTACTTAATTCCAACATCTTTTTATATAACAAAATAAAAATGAACATTGTTTATGTTAAAATTTCGGTATTGCTTTAAAAATTATGAAGAAATAACATAGATCGTGTTGTCGTTAAAAATTGATTTACGTTCATGACGTAAATAGCTCCTAGAGAGGCTTCTTGAGTGACTCTCATTGGCCAGTCTCAAGCCAAAAGAGTGGGTGTCTTTTGTTTACTGTGGGTAGGGAGGTTTACATTATACACCCTGGTGAGTTAAACTTCCGGTCGGGAACGACAGTTGCTAATCAAACCCTCAATCCATTACGTCGGTACTGACTTAAACCGCTAACAACAACGTTACACTAATTTTATTATATTCAACACAAAAACTTTGCAGAACCTTAGTATCAATAAATTGAAAACTATTCATCATCATCATCGCTGGCCTACTAATTTCCCCATGCTGGAGCACAGGCCTTCACATAAATGGAATTGAATAAAATCGAATAGGTAGAATGGACCACGCGGACCCAGTGCGGATTAGTGGGTGTAAACGTGCCTTCCGAAGTACGAAATAGCTCAAGATCCCTAGATTTCAAGATCAAGCCCTTGCAAGAGTTCTTCAACAACCGTTTCGCAGACCCAGTGCACTAACTCTTCCAAAGAATTTCTCTATCAAAGAGTTTTGGCGATGCTCGATGTCTATTTCTGAGATTCGCAAAATCGTGCCTACAGTAGGTAATCAATCAAACCTTTACTATCTCGAATTCTCGTTCTACGTAAACGTATTGTAGAGCTTGCTAATGCCTCATTCAATATTTTTACTTTTACTAGAAATAAAATCTAATTGTTTCTGAGTCTCAAATGTACCTTAACATGGCATAGTAAGCTTCAAGCTAGACCAGCCAAATTATATAAATTCAACGTTCAAATTATTCCAGTAAACGTAATTTATTACCAACTAGCTATTCTTCCGCGACTTCGCACTATGTCAACTGCGTATGATGTAGCTACCCGTATTTGAAAGATTTTTTAAGAAAGGTACAGTAATTTCGGAGCCTATTCAAAGCAAATAATCAAATCTTCCCCTTAAGTAAGCAAAAGCTTATATCTAAATAATTCTACAGCGTTTTTGGAAAATATATGCTGCCCAAAGTAACTAAACCACGCGGACGAAGTCGCAGGCAAAAGCTAGTTAATATATAACTCTTATTACAAGGACCTAGTAACCCACGGAAGAACACAAAAGTAGTGTTTTTAAGATCGTCCATTACTTACAGTTTTTCTTTTAAGAATTGCTCGCTGAAGGTATCAGGACCACTCTCCTGAATAATGTACTTATTACGTAACTTCACGTGAATATTATATGGGACACACAATTGTCTTGCGCATCTGTTCCACTCGATTTGCATTTAGAGGAGACGCCGCTATAATATTACTAACTGAAAGTATGGGTTTTTGTGTTTGAAAGAACACTCAGCTTTAGCATTTCCGCAAGAGTTTCAGTAAGACCCCCGTAGCGGAGTGGTTCGCACGACAATTTTAAGATGCCGCCATCTCTAAGTTCCCGGGTTCGATTCCCGGTCGAATCAGTGTAGAAAATGGACTTTTCTACATTTTCTCGGGTCTGGGTGTTACTCTCAGATACTCCACAAAACTCATTGGCTACTCATCTTGGAATCTTAGTTATGAATGTGATTTTTGTCGAATATATATTATTATTTTTTATCTAAAAATCCTTTGTTCTACGCTGACCTTGCACTCCCTGTTACTAAGCACCTCGGTTGATTGATTTCCCAGCGCAAATTGACACCGCCCAGTCTAAAGAGGATTAATGATCTTTATCCCGAGTATCTATAGGGTAGAAAGTTTCTAGGACCTCACAAAAACTGGGCTTCGATCAGAAATCACAATATCAACTATACAGCAGGTTTTATGAACCTTATCTCGTTTTAAATGATCGTTTTCGTTTTCACATATTATTTACCTTTATACCAATACTGGCTTTCTACCAGCAGCTTCACTGGTGTGGTCCTGTACTATGTATATGAGAAAATTCCATTTAAACTTCACAATCCTATTTCACCCCCCTTTAGAGATCGAATTTCTAAAAATCCTCTTTTAGCTCATTAACATCAAGAAAAGAACCCATGTACTAAATATCAAGTTATATATACTAATATTATAGAGACAAAAGATTTGAGTGTTTGCTTGTTTGCATTGAATAAACTCCGAAAATACTGAAAAAATTTAAAAAAAGCTCACCTATGGGAAGCTAAGCTATATTATACAAGGGTGATATATATTACTCAAATACTACAAAACTGATAGATTTACGACGTTTAATGTAGGTGGAGTTTATAAGTCCCCCTTGTCTAAGGCCATAGTCCGCCATATTTGCCACATAAATTAAGAAATTAATTCTAAAATATATTGTGATTTGCATAACCCTCAAATACCTATCCTTATATGTAAAGTAACACGACATCGCTGACCTTTATCTCTTCAAGTTACAAATAAACTTTTTTATTTATTTTTTTAAGAGAAACTTTCAAAGTTAAGTATAATTGATTAATTTCGCATTCACAATGCTATATTGAAAATTATTCTTAATACAAAATGCTTTAAAAAATCACCTTATAAAATTTATATAAATGATAAATATAATATGAATTTTAATATGAGATAGTTTTGGAATACGTTTTCAGTGTATCCTCTAATAAACTAAAGGTCTTTAATGTAATTGGAAAAACATTATTTCTCTCCGATAAAACAAAATATCCACGATTTGTAACTTATCTATCTTTGGCACTACAGTTTTGTTCTTTTTTTTATTATATATAGAATTCCGTCTCAGTTTTGTAAATAAGGGCACTTGAAAGTGACTACCGTGTATCCGCCGCCTACAGACGCCTACGTACTCTTGTTTTTATGAAGATGTTTTTAAAAACATAAGTTTTTGGATACCTAACAGTTTTAGTGCACATGACCTCAGAATGTAGTACCTATTTAATTATTCTAGAATACTTTGACAGCAATATTTCCTAATTATATTCTTTATTAGTATTCTATAGAGTGTAGATAAAATAGCTATTAGTGAATTGAGAGTATGTTTCCAGTCTATATTCATAACGATTAAATATAAAAAAAAATACTGAATAAATAAAATACTTATTAAAGTAAAATTAAGTATATTTATCCCTAACAAATATTCAACAATAAGAAAGCGTAGTTCCTTCTTTGTTTAATTATTTTAAATTTAGAGAATATCGCTCTAAGGTTTTAGATTATCTTTTATAGTATTTTTCCAAGATTATTAATTTGTGAAGTATTTTCTTTATTACTAAGTAGCTGACCCGACAAATGTTGTTTTGCCGTATAAAAACCCTTATACTTTAGGGTTATAAAATAAATAACAACCTATTCTCAGACCGAGTGATATAAAATTTCATCAAAATCGGTTAAGGCATTGCGGTAACATTGCGGTTGCATTATATGGTAACTAAATAGATATAAGATCTTACTGTTGAAACTATTGAGTTACTACTATACGTGAAAATTTGGGCAAGGGTGCTTAACAACATAGGAAAGAAAAGGGTTTTGTAAATTCCTACGTGTAATGAAATTCCACACAACCAAAGAGTCGGGTAATTGTAGTGCTAGATGAAACGTTTATCTTTTACGTGTTTTGGGAATGAAATAGAATCGAAATGTATTATACTGTTTGCAAATTTACTGCTCTGGTTGCTCTTTTGATGACACATGCTGATTAGGAGATTTTTTCACCACTGTAGCATAGCTCACATTAGTCAACAACAACGTATGTTTAATGATAATCTGTCCTGTACAGAGCAATAACGTGTGATATAATTCTTCGTAGAGATTTACTGAGAACAACCTCGTCTACAATTTTCCCCAGAATTAAACCCGACTCTCGAGGTGCTGGCGTCAAATGACCGTGAAACAACATCTCCTTAACTGCAGTAGTTTCTAGCGTTAATGTTACCGACTTAAAGATATGTGTTTTGCTTTTTGTACTTGTTATTTGAAGTTTGGGATTAGGTGTACTAGAAGTTTGGAGGTGTAAAATTTAAAGAAACAGAAGATTTTTTTTTATCAATATGTATTTTGCCAACAGGTCGAAAATACAGATTCCGTGAGGCTGGCATCATGACGTTGCACTGGTGGATGCACTGGTTTTGGGTGACGACTCTGCTCATCTTATGTGGTAAATAATAAGATATTATTCTTAATGAAATTGATCAAATATTATACTAAGACATTTTCAAAACGCTCTACTCAACGATTGTTTCTAACAGAAGCAAACACAAGATTATCGTCTACCAATTTTAATAGACACATTTTAGGCAGTTTAGGTATTCTTTGAAAATTACATTTCCACAGCTATTATTTATTAATAAACAAGCTTTTTTCCCGCGACATCACCGTAGCTTCCGGTAGGTGAATTTTTGAAATCGGTCCAGTAGTTTGGAGCCTATAATAATGGATCGTCAAATCTTTTGTAATATTAAGAGTAGTATAGATTTATACCATGATTATAGATAATACCAACAATGATAGCTTTATTTCCAATAACAATACAATATTTTTTGTGCCCTGTCTCCCATACTAGTTTGAACTATATTAATATAATAATTCAATATTGGAAGTGGTGTTCCAGAATAATAAATACAGAAAGCTATTATTAACATAAGTTAGCCAAATGTTTTTCCAGAACCAAGACTCATTTGAAACAAGTGTATAACTACATATGAAACACTTATTAAGCCACAAAAAAACATAAATATTTTTCTTTACCTTTTAATTATTTCATTGCTACAACAAATTTGAAATAAGTTTCTCACACATATCATACTCGATAAACACGTTTGACCATTCTTTTGGCATTTTTTTTTTTATTGTATAGTTGGACGTTTTGACTATATTTGGAATATTAATGATTATTATTGCATTATAAAAATGTGGTGCAAGACTATTAAAGTTTCTTTTAGCAACAGAACTTTTAACTGCTTGAATAGGGCATTTGATTTTTCCTCTATGACCTCTTGGTGCAAGATTAATTTTCGGAACAATCTATCTATGATATAAACCTAAGCAATTGTATATGAACATTTTACGAACCGAAAGTCCATCAGCGTGATTATTCACTAGCTATATTTAAATATCTATTCTTTTTTATATAACACTTATCAATAAGAGTAAATCAAATTCGATATATAGCCCTAAACAATTTTAGTCCTGCTCAAAGGTTAAACGTATTTACATCCCTTGTGGGTCGGTTGGATATGATAATTAACATTTTGTATGCCTCAAATATTTTCCTTAAAATTTAGTACCATTTAAAATTTTGGATCATCAATTTCATTCGTGAATACCTTCGCTTTGGGTTTACAATGTATAAAAAAAATAATTAAAATTTGAACTTTTCAGCGTTTTATTGCTTAAACTAGTAGTTTCCGTTATTAATTTGTTTTTATTTCATTTATGGGCTCTAATAAAAATAAGGGCCTGTTATACCACAGATGAGTGTATTAAATGTAACATATCACTTGGAGCCTGGTTTTTATCGGCCTGTCTTTGTTTGATCAATAATGTCGGGTTCGTAATTGTTTCAGATTATCTATTGGAACATGAATCAAATGTGTATTTCATCCGTTATTTATATATTTTATAGGTTATAGGTAAAACGTTATAGGTTAAATATTATCTCTATTTTATCTATCACATGCAGCTTCCCAAAAACTTTCATTATCAATGAAATTATCATTATTTTTATGATTGTTAGATTACGAAAGAGAAGAGACCAGATACGCAGCACATAAGCCTTGGATTTGTGTGAAATCAAGATATTTTTCATTTCCATCATATTGTAGATACTTGCCCTTTTCAGTAATATGAACGTTTTCATCCAACCAAGTATAATGTAATTTAGTTTTGGAAACTCGAAAATTATGTATAAAATATAGTATCTCCATACGCTAACCGGATGCATTTTGCAATCGCAAGGTTGCCTTGACATTTAATAGTGACCTGTGAGCGATTTTAGTTAATATAAAAGCGTCTAGCGAAGATCCATGTATATTTTTAAACAGAGCAGGCTACCTTCATAAATACATGCTTGTGATCGTGTCTAATAATGATTATATATTAGCGACTTGTATACCAATTACCAAACACACACACACACACACACACACACACACACACACACACACACACACACACACACACACACACACACACACACACACACACACACACAAACACACACACACAAACACACACACACAAACACACACACAGAGAGAGAGAGAGAGAGACACGCACGCACGCACGCAACACATAGTTGGTTAATCTATTAATTAAGATAAAATTTAAAATTAAATATTAATGTAAACTCAAAAATTAAATATGATGAGTTATAATTTTGTTCTGTTAACTCAAATAATGATTACAAATGATAATTATAATAATACAGTAGAATAAGGACCATAACACTATTTTGGAGGTGGGCGCTAATGGTTGCACTTCAGTTTTCTTTTTAAACTACTGCGACTATTATCGTACACTATACTTTTGTTAAACTATTACATTTTTATTTTTTTTAGTTTATTTATAATGACTGACGTTTGTGTTTTGAAAACTTATTTACCTAGTGTTGGCATTAAGGGGCTGAGGACACTGAATGATTTTTAGAAATCGACACGCCCCCTTACGTAATTACAGGTGTCTACGCTAGTGTGGGTTAGCTCATTGCACGTTCCTCAGAAGAATAACAAATGCCTATCGGTTAAGCGCCAGCAGATAAACTTTGTACTAATAACAATGACGTTTTATAACCATCGAGTGCTTTGAGTTAGCTGTCTAAAGTGCTTACACAATAGGTGGCGCTGAATTTTTTTAAAAGAAAGGAATAATTTCTTTTTACTCCAGATTTTTATGGGGCTTAGAAAGGACAAGTATGTTTTTTCTTTTTGGGTCGACAAAATAACATACTATTATTTTGTCTGTTTCATATTTCAGAATTTTATTCTAATTCATTGATATTTTAAAAAATGCTTTGCATTGAATAATTAAAAGATTTAAAATTTAAAGAAATATGAAATAACTATATAAAATCACTTATGATACCACACATCACATCACATTTCTTCACGCGATTTTAAACCTTAATGTAGTGAAGGTAGAGTTAAAATAATTGCGATAATTTGATAGACTGTAGTAACCTGACTTGTTGCTGTGTGTACCTGATAATGTCGGCCAATCAGAATAAACCAAATATCACGTCATGGCACTTAATCCCCGCCGAGTTTGACTGAGACGGACTTTCATACCTTATTCTCATTACAAGAAGAGTCATTATACATTTTAATTGTACGAATTTTTGGTAGGTCGACTTTACGTAAACGAATATTCACCATATGCAATATTAATTGGAAGTCATTGTAGTTAGTACAAATATCCATATCGAACTTGCCGGAGGAGGAGAAAAAAAGCAATTTTAGAATCGTTTTTATGAGAATATAGGGTAGACGCGCCTGTTTCTACCATTGTCTTGCTGTCGAACATTTCATGGCCCGTTTAAAAATAATTAATGCTTTAAGAATTGGACTCTACCTGATCTTTGGACTGGAGTTAATAAAACATATCCTGTTTTCATAATTTGAAGAAAAGTTATGGAGGTGGAATGATATTTTGTAATACTGACGCATCATCAAAGTATAGGACTGGTTGACCGGTTAGGATAAAACCATTAAAACACAATCATTTTATTAATTCCATAAATATAGATGATTTCAAAGTTGCCGTCAGACATTTTTTATTTGATACTGGAAAGCGAACTGATTCAAAAACAATATCTTAAAAGTCTATCCATATTTTAAATAGTACATTAAGTATAAAGAGCTTGAAGGAAAGGCAAAGTCATCCAAAAACACTCTTTTTATGAACTCCGAAACAATCACAATACTACAATTATTAAATGAAAATTCACTAAAGTTTTTACAGATAAACTTATCATTGGCTTAGATAGTTTTTGTCATGGAAAATGTATTTTATTTTAAAAGAAAATTGTCTTCGATTTATAAAAAAATATATTCTTGTACCAAAAATATGATTTATAGATGTATCACAACATCTGTAGCTGTAATTAAAAATATAGAGAAAAAACTGTTTTGTCCATCCAATCCCTATTAAGTCCTTTATTATCTAAGCAGAGATATAATTTTACTTTCCAGTTTATGAGTAAACATATAAGTATGTAGTGAAATTTCATTAGCAGACAGGGAACTAAACGCCATTAAATACTTTACATCCGCTGTATATCTATATACAACGTGTAACATAATTAACGCACATTCTGAAAGTAGTTTGTTTATATTTCGTTATACTAACATACAGTTAATAAATACATCGAAGTGTCTAAGGATTATGGGATATATGATAGCAAGACTATGCTAACTGATTTTCATAACAAATAAGAATCATAATTATTGCCTTAACTTAAAAAATACTGAAGCCGTAATTTTCACGTCATTGTGTTGATTTGTAAAATGTCCACACCGTTACCCAGCAATAAGTATAACTGTATCATAAACAATGTTTAATTTTATTTATAAATCCATTTTATAAATTCATTTTCTAATTGGGTTGTAAAAGGACGTGCGTTATTTCTGTTACACGTTTTATACTTATAACAAATCTGCAAAAAAATAATGTCCATACATTGAATATATTTACAAAAAAAGAAAGAAATTGAGGGTGGTTAATAAACAATAATAGAATACGAATTTAAAAAATATTGTCTGTTTATCTGTATGTACACGTTAATTTTCGGGACTACTGAGTATATTTGTATGAAACTTATTTTGTTAATACCTGGGCAATATATGGGGTATAATTAATTTTGGAAACTTAAACGATTGATGCACAACCAGCGACACCTTAAGAAAAATTTTTGTGCCTGATCAATATATTCTGCTAAGAGTACAAAAGTCAAAGATCCAGAACATATAATGTGGTCCTCAAAGATACTAGTTATACTATAACATCGGATAAAAATAACTTCTTAACAATAAATAGTTTTTTTATTTATTTACATTTTTTGCACAAATACACATTGGCGTACTTAATGCCATGGCCATTTTCTACCAATAAACCTTAGGATGATGTGGACACGGGGTTCTCTCTATTGTTGTACAGGGCAAG